TTAAATTTTCACACCGTCGTCGTCGTCGTCTTCCTCCGCTTATCCGGGTCCGGGTCGCGGGGGCAGCATCCCAACTAGGGAGCTCCAGGCCGTCCTCTCCCCGGCCTTGTCCACCAGCTCCTCCGGCAGGACCCCAAGGCGTTCCCGGACCAGATTGGAAATGTAACCTCTCCAACGTGTCCTGGGTCGACCCGGGGGCTTCTGCCGGCAGGACATGCCCGAAACACCTCCCCGGGGAGGCGTCCAGGAGGCATCCTGACCAGATGCCCAAACCACCTCAACTGGCTCCTTTCGATCCGGAGGAGCAGCGGTTCTACTCCGAGTCCCTCCCGAATGTCCGAGCTCCTCACCCTATCTCTAAGGCTGAGCCCGGCCACCCTACGGAGGAAACTCATTTCGGCCGCTTGTATCCGCGATCTCGTTCTTTCGGTCATTACCCAAAGCTCATGACCATAGGTGAGGATTGGGACGTAGATCGACCGGTAAATCGAGAGCCTGGCTTTCTGGCTCAGCTCCCTCTTCCCCACGACAGATCGGCTCAGCGTCCGCATCACTGCAGACGCCGCACCAATCCGCCTGTCGATCTCCCGGTCCCTCCTACCCTCACTCGTGAACAAGACCCCGAGATACTTAAACTCCTCCACTTGAGGTAGGACCTCTCCCCCGACCCGGAGGTGGCAAGCCACCCTTTTCCGGTCGAGAACCATGGTCTCAGATTTGGAGGTGCTGATCCTCATCCCAGCCGCTTCACATTCGGCCGCGAACCTACCCAGCAAGAGCTGAAGGTCAGAGCTGGATGAAGCTAGGAGGACCACATCATCCGCAAAAAGCAGAGACGAGATTCTCCTGCCACCAAACTCGACACACTCCACACCACGGCTGCATCTAGAAATTCTGTCCATAAAAGTGATGAACAGAACCGGTGACAAAGGGCAGCCCTGGCGGAGTCCAACCCTCACTGGGAACAGGTCCGACTTACTACCGGCTATGCGGACCAAACTCACGCTCCTCTGGTAAAGGGACTGAATGGCCCTTAACAGAAAGCCACCCACCCCATACTCCTGGAGCGTCCACCACAGGGTGCCCCTGGGGACACGGTCATAAGCCTTCTCCAAATCCACAAAGCACATGTGGATTGGTTGGGCAAACTCCCATGCCCCCTCCATCACCCTTGCAAGGGTATAGAGCTGGTCCACAGTTCCACGGCCAGGACGAAAACCACATTGCTCCTCCTCTATCTGAGATTCAACTATCGATCGGACCCTCCTCTCCAGTACCTTGGAGTAGACCTTTCCAGGGAGGCTGAGGAGTGTGATCCCCCTATAGTTGGAACACACCCTCAGGTCACCCTTCTTAAAGATGGGGACCACCACCCCGGTCTGCCACTCCCTAGGAACTGCCCCCGATGACCACGCAATGTTGTAGAGACGTGTCAACCATGACAGCCCTACAACATCCATCGCCTTGAGATACCCAGGATGAACCTCATCCGCCCCCGGGGCTCCGCCGCTGTGTAGTTGTTTGACTACCTCAGCAACTTCTGCCCCCGAGATCGGACAGTCCATCCCCAGGCCTCGCAGCTCTGGTTCCTCCTCGGAATGCGCATTGGTGGGATTGAGGAGCTCCTCAAAGTATTCCTTCCACCGTCCGACTATAGCCTCAGTTGACGTCAGCAGCTCCCCATCCCCACTGTAAACAGTGTGAGCGAGTTGCTGCCTTCCTCTCCTGAGGCGCCGTACAGTTTGCCAGAACCTCTTTGGAGCCGATCGATAGTCTTCTCCATGGCCTCACCAAACTCCTCCCACGCCCGAGATTTTGCCTCGGCAACTGCCACTGCTGCACCCCGCTTGGCTATCCGTTACCTGTCTGCTGCCTCCGGAGACCCACAGACCAGCCATGCCCTGTAGGCCTCCTTCTTCAGCCTGACGGCTCCCCGAACCTCTGGTGTCCACCAGCGGGTACGGGGGTTGCCACCACGACTGGCACCGGCCACCTTACGACCACAGCTAGCAACAGCCGCCTCGACAATCGCAGAGTGGAACAAGGCCCACTCGGACTCAATGTCCCCCACTGCTCTCGGGACGTGGTCAAAGCTCTGCCGGAGGTGGGAGTTGAAGACCGTCTTGACAGGTTCTTCTGCCAGGCGTTCCCAGCAGACCCTCACTATGCGTTTGGGTCTGCCAGGTCTACGCGGCATGTTCCCTTGCCATCTGATCCAACTCACCACCAGGTGGTGATCAGTTGACAGCTCCGCCCCTCTCTTCACTCGGGTGTCCAAAACATACGGCCGCAGGTCAGATGATACGACCACAAAATCTATCATCGACCTGTGACCTAGGCTGCCCTGGTACCAAGTGTACCGGTGGGCATCCTTATGTTCGAACATGGTGTTCGTTATGGCCAAACTGCGGCTTGCACAGAAGTCCAATAACAAAACACCGCTCGAGTTCAGATTAGGTGGGCCGTTCCTCCCAATCACACCCCTCCAGGTCAAGCTGTCATTGCCCACGTGAATATTGAAGTCCCCCAGCAGGACAATGGAGTCCCCTGATGGAGCACTATCTAGCACTCGTCCCAGGGACTCCAAAAAGGGTGGGTACTCTGAACTGATATTTGGCCCATAAGCACAAACAACAGTCAGGACCCGTTCCCCGACCCGAAGGCGCAAGGAAGCTACCCTCTTGTCCCCCGGGGTAAACTCCAACACACAGGCAGAGAGTCTCGGGGCTAACAAAAAGCCAACCCCAGCCCTCCGCCTCTCACCCGGAGCAACTCCAGCAAAGTAGAGTGTCCAGCCCCTCTCCAGGTCTCGGGTTCCAGAGCCAATGCAATGTGTCGAGGTGAGTCCGACTATATCTAGCCGGTACCGCTCAACCTCTGCCACAAGCTCCGGCTCCTTCCCCGCCAGCGAGGTGACGTTCCATGTCCCAAAAACTAGTTTTCTTGTCCGGGGATTGGACCGCCAAGGCTCCCGCCTTGGTCTGCCACCCGATTCGCATTGCACCGGACCCTTCATGTTCCTCCTGCGGGTGGTGGGTCCACAGTTGGACGAGCCCATGTATCCGGTTCGGGCTGGGCCCAGCCGGGCCCCATGGGCGAAAGCCCGGCCACCAGGCGCTCGCTCATGGGCCCCAACCCCAGGCCTGGCTCCAGGGTGGGACCCCGGTAACCCTCCGGGCCGGGTACTCCGACTCTTCGTTTTAACCGCCATGAAAGATCCTTCGAACCGTTCTTTGTCTCACCCTTCTCCTAAGACCAATTTGTCATGGGAGACCCTACCAGGGGCACTAAGTGCCCCAGACAATATAGCTCCTAGGATCATTAGGGCACTCAAACTCCTCCACCACGATAAGGTGACGGTTCAAGGAGGAGTTTTCACACCGTGACAACCCTAATACGGACCATTTTAGATTAGGTTACATTTCCTTTATTCCCAGATTATGTAGTTTGTAGCACTTATTATAATGTTGTAGAAAATTTCTGGCCAATCCACGTGATCGGTATCGGTGATCGGTATCGGTGATCAGCATTCTTTTATATCGGTATCGGTGATCGGCAGCAAAAAACCTGATCGGTGAATCCCTACAGTAAAGTGTTATAAAAGAAGGCACGGCAATTTTTAACCTTTTTTAAATGTGTAAACATTATGTTTAGATAGTACTGCAATAAAAAAAGTGCTGCAATAATATCATACACCGCAATATTAAGCCACCCTGAATCACCGCAGGGTGAATTCCTCAACCGCGACAGCCCTATTATACAGTTTTAAAAAATTTTTATTCTCATAGTCTAACTACCCGAAAACTCACATTTTATGGGTAATCCTGTAGATTTAATCTAAGATTCTAGCCAGGACTCCTTCTGTAGCTAGCTTCGCACCTTTGCTGCAATTCACCACTAAAGCCGTTTTTACAAAACAATGCCGTCAAGGTGGCGGCATCAGGGACTCCTAGGTCATTTTTAAGTGGCCAGACCGTGACGGTAATATGGCGCAATCGTGTCCTTTTTATAAAAGATTAGGCGATGGCGGCATAAAGAGGTTATAGGGGTAGTCTCTGCCCTGCTGCAGACTTTCTGTTTATCTTGGACATAGCTTACATTTTAATGAGAAAAAAGTCGCGATCATTACGTTTTTTGAACAAGCCGCTCATAAAGTTGTCTATCCCCATCAGTCCCTGTGCAGCCTCTGATATTCTGAGCTCTAGCTCTAAAAGAAAGACGCTCTAGTTTGCCAACTCAGCTGATTTTGTTCAAAAAGCAAAACCCATTGCCCATGTTTACTTTCATTTTCAATATATTTGCCGGCCGGAGCTCGGCATTAACTCTGCATGTCATCATAACACCTCCCTCTGGTGCGCCATGGCACAATAGCCGTTCGTAAGGCAGACCATTACCGCAATATTACTACCAGGCGAGGCAGAATGAATGCCGCGAAATTAGTGCAACACCATGCCGACATGGCGTGTTTATAAAACACACCATTGCAGTAATGTTACGCTGATTTGCCGGCATGGTGCGTCTTGTAAAAGGCTCAAAGCTTTACGTAAATACCAATGCAATGTCAAGAAAAACATAAAATGTTTGCATGACTAGCTGTGAAATTTTCTGATTGGAGTTGTTTTAAGTCTGCAGACTAGCCATCAGCTATTTCTATGAACTGAGGTTATTAAAAAACATCAACAGATAAGATTTGTTTCCACCTTTTTTTTGTTAAGATGCAAAGTCTTTTAGATTAGTTTCTAAAATTAACAATTAACAATTAAACAACAATTAACAATAAAAAAAAATGAACAATATCTTCTCAAACTTCATAGAAAAAAATAGCTAGTAATATGGAATATATGTATGGAGTTATATTAGTGTCAAAAAGAAAAAAAACAAAAGCAAGTCAGAGGAAACACAAAATACTAACTTTATGTATATAATAATAATAATAATAATAATAATAATAATAACATGTATTTCTAAGCTAAATGTTGGCAAAAGTCAAACAACACTCATTTATTCCAGGACATGAAGTTTATTTTACAACTGAGGTGTGATTCAGAATAACTGTGTTAAATGACAAAACCTGGAAATTGCTCATTGGAGAACAAATATTCTTAAGCTTATATACAATCAAAAGCATCACATCAGATGCCAGTAACTTCATTTCATGTAAACCACATTGAGGGACCCACTCTTTATTGAACAAAAAAAAACATTTGGTCCAACAATATTTTGTAGCTTTGTACATTCCCCCCAAATTGGTCAAAAAATACAGTAAAAATACACACAGTACAAATAATACTGAACTTTAAAGAGCAAGATATGCTGACATACATGTACTTTTTATTTATTCATACAATAAGTTTTAAACTTCATTAGCTTTACAAGTGTAGCTTCATAAAATTGGTGGCCTACTCACGCAAATACTGTACATGTTGGGAGAAAAATGATAAGAACTTATATTTTACTTGGAAAAATTAAATAAATGTTTTGAAATATTGTGGTGTGATGGCAAAAAAAACATTATAGTCAGTCTTTAAATTCTCATTAGAAAAATTAAAACAAAGAAGTCTTTAAAAATTCAATTATTTGATCAGTTTGTACTTATTAAAAGTGCAGAAAGTACCTTAAAACTTAAAACACTAGCTTTACCTAAATTTTCATGACTACATGTTTTCAAACTTTGTTAAACAAGAACACCAATTTAGTCATGGTGTTTGAAAATGTATCAGCCACAATACACTCACTGCTTTACATGAAAACATGCACCAACTGCTAGATGAGAAATATGCATATTGTGTTGAGATATATTTATCCTTTAAAACTTATTCAGAAGTAGTGATCAAAATAAGATCAGTTTTATAACAACAGATGGACTTTTTCTAAAGGCTCAGATAAATTGCAGTGCATTGAAGAAGAAACAATCAGTCAGTGACTATGTAGTGCCGTGTGTGTTGCACCAATCTTGCTGAACCATATCAGTAAATTCAACTTTCAAATGAGGCTTAGAGTCTCTATAGTGCAAACTCTTGTCCTTCACATCAAACTGAATAATTAGAGTAAAAGGTGTTAAAGCTCCTTGGGTTTCCATCTGTTCGTAATACAGTCGTGGCACTATCTGCATTTGACAGATCGAAACTTTGGCCGAATCCCATTTGCTATTGTTACCCCAGGTGCAACTCCTGAATTCAAAGTCAAAGCATTTAAATTGTTTACAAAATGAGACACCCCATCAGGAAGTCAGTAAACATATATTGTTGCATGTTCTTCATGTTTAAATAACCCCAATGTCAACCCACCCACATATCCTGTGTAACAACTAGCTTGAAATACATTTGTTAAAGGCGATTTAATGTGATTCCAAAAGTAATAATTTCAGTTATAAATTATAAAAGAACATCATACAATGTTTCAGTTTCTTTCACTAACAGATGTCTGCTGAAAACATATATAATGTTAAAAAAAATCCTAATTTGAAAAGCCATGCAGCTCTACCTGTTTGCCCTCCCCCTACACCGCCAAAGAGATTGTAACATTTTTAATCCTTTGCATGAACTTGCAAAGCGTAAAGAGTAAAGAAAATGGGTACATTGGGATTCGGCCTTAGCATTTTTGTGAAACAGTTATCTGTCATGCCATCACTGGTTTCACTGTTTGTCAAGTTCTTTCACAAAGAAGAGATGGTCCTCTGGTGACTTTCCGTGTGTTTTGCAAAGATGCAATTTGATTGCATGTTTGCTCACAAATGTTCGATTGCACAGCTTGCACTGATATATTGAGCCAGTGTCTTCTTCAATAAGACCGGATGAAGCAAAGGTTTTGTCCTCTATTCGGCTGACTGCCTGCTGCTCTAGTAAGTCTATAGAAAGCTTCGAGAGGTCCTTTAGGGTGAACCCAAGGTGGGACTCCAAATGGTTTATGTAGGATGAAGGAGTCCTGAACTGGGAGGCACAGTCACTGCACAAAAACAGAGGTTGCCCAGAGTCAATATTTTTGAGGAACTTTGTGCTCCCGGTCCTCTTTAACTGGTATTTCACATTGGCCAGCCAATGTGAGATGGTGGTCATGGAGAGACCCGTGAATTTACAGATGTGGACTCGTTCTTGTGGTCCCAAGTCACTAATGACAAACTTCCCATCAACAGTTTCACGAAGACTTGACACAAATTGCGCCTGGAGAATCAGAAGGTGCTGTGGATTCCAATTTGACTGGCGGCCTTTCCTTCTTTGGATGGAGGACAACTCTTCCATACTGTCCTCAAAAGTATAGCCATCAATGTCAGATTTCTCTGAGATGGACGATGGTGTTGTAGACTTTGGTGTCAAACGGCCAGTCAGATTCTTCACCATGTCTGATATATCCATCAAAGCATTCTCTCTAAGAGGTGGAGTTGATGACTGAGAGAACTCTTTGAATGCTGGTTTACTGCTGTTTATGTTATTTGGTATGGTAGGAGTAGCCTTAGCTGAACTGCTGTTTTTGGATTTTGTTAAATCAATGGGCTGATCGTTGTCATCATTTTGATACTGACTCCCAGGGTCTCCTTGTTTACTCTCAGTGGTGTTGCTCATCTTATAAAGCATCGAGAAGGGGTCCGTGGAGGCTGTGGCCACTTTTGAAGCTTTCCCCAAGTGATTGTTCAAGACAGACTGCAAAGCACTCAGAGGGCTGACAAGTAGTTGCTCGGGCGAGTGATCAGTGATGATTCTTAGGTTATGGCAGCCATTGCTAACAGTTTTCTGTGGTGATTCACGCTCACTTTTTATCTTCACGTCAACTGTAGTTTCTGTTGGCTCTCTTTTACTTTTTGGATCAACCTGAAACTCAGTTGCAAGGCTTTTATCAACTTTTGAGAGGTTTCCTGGATTTGGTGAAGTCTCTCTGTCCTTAGAATGTGGCACAGGAGACTTTGCAGATCTGCATTTCATCTCAGCTGGTTTTTCCTCTTTGTCATTGTTTACCGAGTTATTTCGTGTCACTTTTTCCACTAGCTCCTCCATGGCCAACACATTACTCTTGTGACTGAGAGGCGAAGAGGGACTATTTGGTGAATGGATCAGAGAGCCTAAATCGGAAGATAATACCTTTAAATTGGTGTTGCTGAACAAAGGCTGAATTGATGCACAAGAGGACAAAGTAGACTTCAAAGATCCATGGAGTTGATATGCCGCATGGATGCTGGGGTATCCTCCCCAGGTTGGTGCTCCTGTTTGGGCTTTGCTGATTGCACTTGAAACTGTATTCTCCAAAGACTTAAGAATGTCTAGGCCACCTTTAGGTGTCTCTTCTAAGTCGTCTTCAGTAAGATATTGGTAAGACCTGGTCTTACCAGGTTTATCAGCTTTTTCAGAAGGGTCTTCTTTTTCCTCTTTAATTTTCTTTTCTGGTTCTCTTATTTCTATCTTATCTTCATCTGTCTCGTTACCTTGTATTTCCTCCTGTTTCTCTTCAGGGCTGGAGGGCTGCAATGGGGAGTCAAGCTGTGACTTACCATTGGGTGCAGGGAGTCGCGTGGTTGTAGGAGGCAAGGGAATTGACTGAATTTTCTCTTCAATTATAGGATCCAAAACTAACTGCTTACCCTTTTTAGAGGCTGAATTAGTGACTTTAAGAAAATGTCCTGTGACCATCATGTGGGCTGTCAGTTGTTGCAAAGTGTCATGTGAACTGCCACATTCCATGCATTTTAGGATTTGTGCCTTTCGGGCCTCAAACTGCCAGGTATAACTGGCACCATTCTGGTAACCATATCGATTGTTAGGAGTAACATAGGGATTAGACACTTTTTGGTCTTTAGGAGACTCTCCCAGGAATATGCCGGATGAGACAGACTCTGGTGAGCTTGGAGACATCAACTCCTGAAACACTCTTTTTTTGGCTGGCGGCATCAGTTTAGAAGTGAGGGCTGGCATTGGTTCTTTTAGAGGCACTTTCTGATAGTGTTTTGTTTTGATCATGTGAACACTTAGATCTTGCAAGGATTCAAAAGAGTGGCCACAATACATGCATTTGAGAACTTTCTGGGCATCTTCTTTGCCTTCCATCTCCAGAAGAGAACGCTTGCGTGGCTTGGACCACTTCTTGCTTCGATCATCCTCCGTATCCTTGTTGTCATCACGGTAGTGGCCTGTCTCATTCATATGAACAGTCAGCCCAACCAAGGTATCATAGGCTGCACTGCAGTCCTTGCACCGAAACTTGCTGGCTCCGGTAAACACCGGGCCATATAGTTTATTGTTTTGCCTGTAAAGCTGGACAGTGCTGAAAAGGCTTGGCTCAGGAAGGAGTTGGTATGGAGTATGTTGTAGAGTTTTAGCCAAAGCTGCCTGATGCCAGTCATAGGCCAGTCCTCCAGTGCTGCCAGAGCTGATCACACTATTACTGTTGCTAGACACAGTCTTTGCAGTAGCGCTGCTGGTGCTAATGTTAGTGGTAACTGGGATGTCATTGTTGCTACTTCTGTTCTTCAAATGAGTGTTGCCTGAACCATGGCTGTTCAGGAATCCATTGCTCCCTTTGTGATGACTACCACCGCCTTTACTAGATGCTATCGTGTTCCCTTGTTTACTTTTAAGCATATCAAGAGCGATGCTGGACCAAGAAGCATCCGAGATCAAATTTGCATAGACGGCTTTCATTTTTGTCAGACTGTCCTGCAGCGAGAGGCCATTGATAGACTCTTTGCTTTCATGAAGCTTGTCTTCTAGCCTCTCTTGATCGCTGAAGGAAGAGGTGGTCTTAACGTCCACCAGTGGATCGCTGGTGGTGCTGAGAGGAGAAGCGTACCCAGCATCTGGGTTGGTACCATTGCTGAGGGGAGAGTTTTGGTTGCTGTAATGATCTCTTGCATCCTCTTCATCATTGAAGAGATAGTCTGCATCCTGACCATCAAGGGAAAGGCCATCATCCTGCAGATGTTCCTCCTCATCAGTTTTGTCCACTTTAAATTCGTCCTCAGGTCCATAAGCTGAAAAACAAGATGAGACAGAGATGAAAAAGCAGTTATTTATTTATTTTAAAATTCATATAAATCCACGATGAAATCAAACCAAGCCGGTGTTAAGTATGGGTTTTCTTTTATGCTAAATAATAAGTTTATCATTTTGAGAATAAAACCTTCAATATTTGTTTACAGGAAACTGACATGCCGGAAAAACTTAGTCTCGAGTTCTATTTTTGAAGCATTACAAACACAAGTTTGTTTCTGACTTTGATTTTCTCCATTCTTCCAATTCCTACACACAGTGGATTAACAAGTAAGAGATAGTGGAGCAAAATGCCAGCTGCATCAGCCCTGCCAAGCCACGGTTGGCTGGAGTAGACTTGGCATCGGCTGTGGAAGTCCTCACAGCGTGATGTTCCGAAATGGCCAGTGGACACAAGAAGGCGTGTTGATACTGCCTGTGCTCCTTGTGTTCTTGCCATTTTAAAAGAATAAAAAAATTGTAGCATTAACGGCTAGCTTTATTTAAATGCATCTGTGCACAATTTTTACAAACAAAAAAATGAGTTTCAGTGGTCTTAAGTAAAAATGAACAAAATAAGACGAGGCTTCAAGAATGACCTTGGAGGTAGATCACACGAAGGTAAGGAAAAGGGAATGATACAGCACATCCCTCGTAAGATTTTTGTCTGAGGTGCCAGAATCAGTCTCTAGTGAGAAGGCAGATGTGCCGTCAACTTCAAAGAAAATTTAGAGCTCTATCTCATAATCACAATGGACACAATGCCTGATGTTTGTGAGGTACCAGTAACTTCTGGGAGAAGCTGGAGGTCTACGTGTGAAAGCTTGATCATTCATCCAGGAGATTGCTCCAAATCCATGCAGGTTTAGTTCCTAACTGTAGGGTAGACATTACGCATCGACCTCTGTTATTTAGAGATTTAGTCACAAAATGAACTTATTTTAACTTCTCGCCAAAGCAGCTGTAATTCTTTCAGCTTGTATCGTCATCCCCGCCCCTCCCTGTTGAAATGAATTCAGAAGTGAGCCAATTCGAAGTCAACGTGGGAAGAGTAAAGACAAAACAGCCTCACTGACAAAGTGAAAGAAATCTGACGGCATTAAACACACACACACACACACACACACACACACACACACACACACACACACACACGGACAGCGCACCAACACTTAAGTCTACTGTTTTCCTCGCCATCCTCTGTATGTAGCCTTGACAGGCATCAGTGTCAGGAGTGTGTAAGTGTCAGCCCAAGGTGTCAGTGTCCACACAAACAAGCCCGAGAAGTGTTGGGAAGGGGGGGGGGGTAACAACAACAAACACAAGTCAGCCATTTTTATTTCCACCCCTGCTCCAGCCTCCTCCTTCACCATCTGTGTCGGAGAAGCTGCGGGTGCCACCGCCAGCTAATAAGGCAATCAGAGATGGAAAAGATGCTGACACGGCGGCTTTCAAGCGTCACTCAGAACAAAAGAGGAAGCAAAGGAGGAGGGAGAGAGAGAGAGAAAGAAGGATGGGGAGGGGATTAAAATAGGAGGCTGGGGGGGGGGGGGGAGCAAAGTGTCTGTTGTGGTTGTCAGTCAAAAACGTAAGCCCACTTTGTGCTTTCAGGGAGGATAGGCAAAAGAGAGGAAGTTCTGAAAAGAGAGGGAAAAAGATGTTTAGCCATATGAACAAGAGGTGTGTGTGTGAGTGTGTGTGTGTGAGAGAGAGAGAGAGAGAGAGAGAGAGAGAGAGAGAGAGAGAGAGAGAGAGAGAGAGAGAGAGAGAGAGAGAGAGAGAGAGAGAGAGAGAGAGAGAGAGAGAGAGAGAGAGAGAGAGAGAGAGAGAGAGAGAGAGAGAGAGAGAGAGAGAGAGAGAGAGAGAGAGAGAGAGAGAGAGAGAGAGAGAGAGAGAGAGAGAGAGAGAGAGAGAGAGAGAGAGAGAGAGAGAGAGAGAGAGAGAGAGAGAGAGAGAGACCCGTTGATTTAACGGCTCCAAGGAAATATTAAGAAAAAACATTTCTGCAATAATGAATTTCTGCCGTTTGTGCTAAGTGTGTGTTTTTGGTGTGGCAGATTTGTTGTGTGTGTGTGTGTGTGTGTGTGTGTGTGTGTGTGTGCGTGTGCGCTCTTAAGTGTCACAGTGTGTCAGGTGCAAGCAGAGAGGGCAGTGTGGCTGGTAGAGGGAGGGAAAGCGAAGCCATCTGTGTCTGGGAAGGAGCCTGTCACTATTGTTGTGCCCCAGCGTCCAGGATTTCCTGCTGCAGACAGGTGCCACCGCAGTAGGACATCCCAACGCCACACACTCGCACGTGCAACGGCAGAACATGCTCACCTTTCACGCTACATCCCTCCCCAAAGGAAGAACAATGTCCGTGTGTGGGTCACAGTTGACATAAACAAATATTTCCTTTGGATCAAAGTTCGTGTGATGTTAAAAGATCAAATTTTAAAGCACCTTAAAGGACAACTTAAAATGCCAGTCTTGGACAACTTAAAGCAGTCAACCCAACTTCTCCGTCCCCTACACGTGCTTTGTCCTTAAGCCGTTTTCATTTATTCATGTTGTCTCAGAGAAGAGGGCAATCCCCGTTCTCATTTGCAGTGCTAATGTCCAATTCCAGCAGCTTTCACCCCGCTGATTTACCCTTCGCGCCGAGCGCCGCATCTGCAGCGGGGCGGCTAGACGAGGCTCCTCACAACGTTTAGCGGCCCTTCAAAGCGGGAGCTCCAACGTGGCAGTCTTATTTCTCTCTCCCGTTTCGCTTTGTCACCGGTCCCTCCATTCCCTGCCACTCACCTCTGATGGCGTTGGACAGGCCTGATCAGTGTGTGTCATTGACCTGTACGGCGCGCATGAGTGTGTGCGTGTTGTTACAGAGAGAAGGCTGTAAATAAAATGACATTATTATTTCCTCTGTCCTATCATGTAGAAAAGCCAATTATGGTAATGCTCAGTATGTCAGGCGATATCTGTCTCTCCCCGCTCCGCCCCTTCATTCGGCTCATTCTTGGTCCCCCTTTTCAAGAAGCAGAAGTTGTGGCTCTGGCTTCATTGGACATGACACACTCTTTGGGCTCTCTGTGGTGCACATTGGGGTAAACTGGTACAACCCCAGTTGTCTACAATTGGTTGAATCAAATAAGCTTGAAGACAACTCAAATTATCTTCACAGACCAATTAGTTTCAAGCCTTGGTATGAATTATCTACACACCAATAAAACAACCCTAACCCTATAGGGAATATTTGTTGCTTGGTTCAATAAAGCAGTCCCCATACTGTTTTGCATTGCTGCCACATTGCAACGCAGGGGTGAGCATTGCTGCAGATGCCCTTTTATTAGCCATAATTTAATCCCCAGCCTTCTTGACTAGACATCTAAAAGCCTACCTAATAGCAACCCCTCCCCTAACCCACATAGAATAGTCCACCATATGGCACAATAGCTCCGGGCCTTCTTGGGACTTATAAGTGGAACAAATCTACCTTAGTTTCCACAGCCCTTTTGAATTTGATAAAACAGCCTGCTCCTGTAATATGCAACTGTATAAGCTGTGAAATATCTTTAGTATACGTTAGTATAAAATGAAAATAAATCATTATATTTGCTAATCCTTTACATAAGTTTAAAGCTTTAAAATATGTAAGACCTATATTTGCTTCTGCACTTTGTTGAATAAAGGAAACGGATTGTTTGGCTGAAAATCTCACATATAGGTCACTCAGCAAGGTTGGTAAGCATCTAGGGTTGTCACGATACTAAAATTTCAAACTCGATTCGATACTTGAAAAAAAACTCGGTACCTCGATTTCGATACTATTTAAAAACACCAATTTATTGAACAAGTTTATTCAAAACATAACATTCCTCAATTTATATTGCAAAAACTAAATGTTAAGAATTAAGTGTATAAAGTGCTTAAACCTTTCAAGTATCAGCATTTTTTAAAACGTGCATACAAGAACTGGCGAAAGTTAACACTTTAAATCATGAATTGTCTCACTATATATACACTATTTGCAGAGTGATGTTTTGCTGCTTCAACTCTGTTTAAGTAGCATTTTTGTCATAAGATGTAATGCCATATGTTTTGTTCTGTACTTTTGAACAACTCTGTTGGTCAATAAAGGGAGAAAAACGAATTTCTCCACAGTAGGACAAAGGTACATCTACCGGTAATCTTAATAAAAACAGATTGGCGCACGGCAGTGACGTCATTAAAAGCGCCGGTTAATTAGCCGCGGCTAGTCTGTTCACCGCCTAGAAATCCCAGGCTCGCTCCAAACGAACAGGGGAATCACGTTAATGATTGCTAACAAAAATTTTCGACATGAAGATGTTTTGGTGCAGATAATGTCTTATTTCGAGGCTGCACCATGGGTGCCCGTCCGCACCCGTTATATGGATATACACTGACGGCGATTTGGCGATGGATCTACGGTAAATACCCCGGGGAATCCAAGTAGCACCAAAGTTGTCAGCGTGAGTAAACAAACGTACTGCATGCTACAAATTAAGTCCGGGTTGCAATAAACGGGAGTTTCCTTTAAGCACATAAGCGTGAATATACAACTACGTGTCAGACTTGGTACGCTAATTAAGTTGGGCTGTGAAGCGCCTCCAAATTCGCTGTTTATGTTTTTGTTTATTTATTTGGCAGACAAAACTTGGATCAGAGACAACTCGCGTGGGAAATTGCGATGTAGCCATGTGGCGTCTTCTTCTTTTGTTTGTCTGGGAGGCGGAGGCTGCTTTACGGCATCTGGCTGTCGTGCGTGTTGGTGTACTTGAAGAAGGCTGTGTATAACAGTCCATAATATCGATACCACAGGGATGGAATATCTAATTTAGATACCACTTTTAGCATCGATTTATATCTAGGTATCAATTTTTTTTGACAACACTATAAGCATCCAAGCAATTGGAAGAAGCAGGCTGTTCACTCACGTCTTTTGGGCAGCAGTAGCTCAAAAGGTTGAGCGGGTTGTCCAGTAATCGGAAGGTTGCAGGTTCGATCCCGGCTCCAGACAGAGAATTCTGCTGTTGTGTCCTTGAGCAAGACACTTAACCCACCTTGCCTGCTGGTGGTGGTCGGAGGGACCGCTGGCGCCTGTGCTCGGCAGCCTCGCCTCTGTCAGTGCGCCCCAGGGCGGCTGTGGCTACATCGTAGCTCATCACCACCAGTGTGTGAATGGATGAATGATACACTGTAGTGTAAAGCGCTTTGGAGTCCTTACTCTGAGAGGTGCTATACAAGTGCGGGTCATTTATCATTTGTCTAAAAACCTCAGCCAATAACACGGCTCGGACCAAAACCAACGACCATTGGACCATCTGGTTGTCTGTCCCGCCAGACATAGGCTAAAATCCTGGGGGGGGGGAGGACAGAGGGGACATGTCCCCCTCTGACATTAATGTGTCCTGCCCAAAACTCCATAAAACACAAATTTTTTTTTGTTTCAACAATATATCCCCAGTTGTTGAACGCACAATACAAGTTGTGCAACTTAAAAACACACTGTTTGAGAGTTATGAGAAGTGAAAGACACCCCCCCCCCCCCCCCCCCCCCCCCGCCTAATCCACAGTGGTTCAGTCCAACAATCTGTTTCTCCGATGGCTGCTGCTGGAGCAGAGCGGCATGTATGTGAGTTTTTAATGCGTTCAGTCGTGCTTTTAATACAAAAAAAAATGGTTATTGGTCACTACACTTGTTCCACATTCACAACACAGGACACATAAAGCTACAGTTCAGCTCCTTTGTGTGAAGTCTGGCATGTTTAACTTAGGCAAAATATATTGTTAGCTTAAGCAGCGTGATGTGTTTATGTTAACGCTGGGTTAAAGAGAAAGGAGAGAGAACGAAAAGAGAAAGACATAAATGTATATATAGAAAGAACAGACAGTAAGAGAGAGGATACAGTTGCCACACTGCCATCATCCTCTCATTAATGCCACAAATATTAGACTAACTTGTTTCACTGTCATTTTACATTTCTGTAGTCAGATATTGTCCAAATCTTTACATTTATGTTGGATATTATTACTTAGAATCTAATTTTCTATTTCAGATTTAGTCTTTTTTACTATTATTTCTTTTAAAATATATTTCTA